TGTTTCCCTCTAGAGGCTCTTAGACTATATTCCATGCCTCTCCTAGCTTCTGGTAGCTGCTAGAAACCCTTGAGAATCTTGGTTTGGGGCTATGTAACTTCAATCTCTGCCTCTGTCTTCATATGGGCTTCTCTCAGTGTCTGTATCTTCCCTTCTTGTAAGGACACGTGTCATTGGATTTAGGGTTCACCTTATGGTCATATCTGAAGATCCTTAATTATATCTGTAGATACTCTTTTACAAAATGTGTTCCTACTCAACAGGTTTCAGGTGTACATGTCTCCTGAGGGTGTACCATTCAACCCACTATAGATGGTATATATATTTCATATGAGGAAAACCACTGATAGGTCAGATTTTTATATTGGGAGTAGCACCAAGTTTATTCCTATAATTTTTGCTAATTGATACATAGTATAAAAATTTTATTCTATGCAAGTACATTTTCAAAGGGAGAATAATATGTTCTAAAATATTTTGGTATTCTAGTATAAGATTGCCCCAAAAATGATTAATTAGATTCGAAAGGTTTAGTTCCTAGTTTTAAAAGAAATTGAAGACATTGATTAGTATCTCTCCTCTGAAGTATTCTACCTTTTGTCTGGTCCAATTTAAAACAGTTTGAGAACGTTTATGCTCTGATTGCTACGTTAAAAGACCTTCTATTAGTCACAGATGCATGGGAACAAGTTTGCATAGTATAAATATGTAATAGTCAATAAACATTAACTATCACAAATACATATTTACATTCTAAAACAAGATATATAACAGTCCGACAACGACTTGATAGGCAACATACATCGATATGATTCTCAGGTTGGTAGATGCGACTCACAAACAAAATTAAACATAATGCTTTCATGCATTACATGGTCTCTTCTGTAACTTCTTGACATTCTTTATATGGAATATGTACTGATACATTAAAATAAAAACTACATGTATACACATAGTTTAACATTATAATATAGTAATATAATAATTTAGTATTAATAGTACAGTTTAATATTTCTTTTTTTAAAAAATGTTTATGTCCATAAGTTACTGGGAAACAGGTGGTGTTTGGATACATGAGTAAGTTCTTTAGTGGTAATATTTCTTTCAGACCTATTTATAATGAACGTTAAAAAGAAAAATATGACCAGCATTGATTTCTTAAAACAGAATATCTAATAACATACTTCAGAGCAGTTTGAGAAATGTTGGTCTGGGATAATTCTGGAGCATGAACTGCCAGTTGGACAAACTTTAGGGATGTGCTTCCAATGGAACAAGACCTCCAGAGTTAGCCCTAGGGCACCAAAGACTTTAGAAATTCCACAGGGCTGTGGACTTAACGTACCCCTGGATACATCCGAAAACAGCCAAAGGCATCGAATGAGCAAGTCCAACTCTTCCACTATTTTCTCAACAAGAAACCTTTCTCTCCAGCTGGGCAGATACATAACATGCTCATTTTCATATTGCCACACTATTTCCAACCCAACCCAAATAGAAATGTACTTACTGTCTCTTATTTCTCTCTCTTCTGTTTGTTTTTATCCATGCTTTCTTTCTTTCTCTCTCTCTCTTTTTTTCTCCCCCTCAGGGTGTCACTCTGTTGCCCAGGCTGCCTCCCCAGGCTCAAGCGATGATCTCATCTCTGAGAGGCGGGAACTACAAGGTGGGCACCACCACACCCTGCTAATTTTTGTATTTTTTTATACAGATGGGGTTTCACTCTGTTGCCCAAGTTGGTCTTGAACTCCTGAGTTCAAGCAATCCAGCCACCTCAGCCTCCTTAAGTACTGGGAATACAGGCATCAGCCACCATGCCTGGCCTTCATTTCTATGTCTATTGTGAAGCATTTCCCAGGCACACAGCCTCTACTAGACTTCTCTAGATTTTATTATCACTGTCACTCAAATGGCAAATTTTCTACATTTCTACAATTTTCTGCTTATATTGTTTAGATTTTTATTTGTGTCACCCTTGTTCCCCCAATGAGTATAAGCTTCTCACTTATGTAAACCATGTCTTATGTCTCTATGGCCATCTCAGTTAACAGTGTTTTGCACATGGTAAGAACTAGAAATATGTGTGAAATGAATAAAAGAATTAATATACTAGTTTGTTACTTATTAAAACATCTGGAAACATTAAACAGTACAGAACTGACATAAAAGAATCAATGAAACTCTCCAAGGATTAGTTGGTGATTAGGTATCCACCATGAAACCTACATCCATTACTCACCAATGTCTTTCAGCAATAAGTAAGTCTCCTCAAAGTAGAGTTTATGTTTAGGATCTTGTGGGTCTGAACTTATAAGATATTGGCTATGGTCTATGTAGAATTGAAAAAATAGTGCTAATAATTTCCTATGTCAGATAAATTAAAACAATTTTGTATCCAGCTTCAACCAGTGTCCATCAGCCAAACAGATATGAGGAATTCGGGGTGGAGACAGGCTGCATTAGGAAGTCCTCCTTTTTCCTAGGACATTAGGGAACATTCAGCTTTATGCAGTTTCATCTTAGAAAAGATCATTTCTTAGCACCAATTGAGAGCCACATCCTAAATCAGAGAATGATAAATCTGTGGCATCTGTTTGTTTCCCTCACCTTCCCAAACTGTGGCAGCCATCATTAAGTGACCACAGGATGCTTTCTAATGAAATATGGACTTTGTCTCAGAATCGATCTCAGGCCAACTCCTCAGGGCCATCACCAATCAAATAGATTTGTAAGTCTTCATTTCCATTCCTGGGTCTAAAGCACCCTCAAAGTGTTAATCTTCTCTTCCAGTTTTAATTCTTGCCAAATTATGACCATTTGACCATAGCTATCTGACATTTTTGTCTCAATTCTTCGGCTTAAAGTTTACTTTTGCTGCTGTTTTTTCATCTCTCAGGTTCAAAAGGAAAATACAACTCCTTCTGATGGTAGTCTCTCTTTCAGAGCCTCAGAAGCCGTACAGCATAAACCCACTCCCTGCCAACACTTTCATCTGCAGAAATTTTCTTTTCTTCTTTAAAGGACATGATGTGTCACAGACTCGCACCAAAAGAGGATCATTAGTGAAAGGGGAAAGCAAAGGCGAAAATGAGAACCAAATACTGTTAAGAAAGCCCTAAAAGTTATTTTTATTCAAAATAATCCACCTTAACATGCTCTTCATACTTAAAAGTGTTTGTCCTCTTTGGTGCAGAGAGAAGGAATTACCCTAACAGGCTGCAGTCTCCCACTTGGTGACTTAGTCATTTGTTCACATGCATACAATCTTTCTTCCCCAGACCTAATACACTGAAACAAATGATTACCCTTGGAATATAAGAGGGGCAAAGTAGTGCCAAATAAAAGTAGTACTGAAGAGGAGAGTATTTAGGAAAGTTTGTTAGTCAAAAGAGGAGGTGTGATAATCAAAGACTTCAATATACAGTTTGCAAAAGAAGAAAAAAACAACCAGTAAAATACAATAAATATTTTGAATTCAAGAAATGCAAATATAAACCACTATTAATTTTTTTTGTTTTGAGTATGATTTTGCCAGAGTTGAAAAATATTGACCGTACCGACCAAGCCCCAGTGTAAAGAGGTACCACTCTGATGTACTGCTGTTGTTGGGAGTTTCTTTAGGACATAATTTCCTGAACAGCAATTTGGCGATAGGTGCTGTGTCAGTCAAGGTTCAATCAGAACAGAAGCCATTCTAGGAAAGAAGAGGAATGATATGGAGTACTTACACTGAGGCTTATACAATAGCTTGGAGTCTGGAGGAATGTAGATTGGGAAGGCTCCTTTCAAGAAATCCAGCAGTGCAAGATTACAAGGCAATCACCAATTATATCTCAGCTCCGTGCAACACTGAAACAGGTGATTCTCCAGAGAGCACCTGGAGACACGGATGACCTCACTGATGGTAGTGCTGACGTGTGGAGTTCTCATGAAGATGCCCAGATGTGACTGGAAAACTTCATGGTTGAGTTGACCCACGTGTCAGCCCTAAGTTGCTGCCAGAGAATAACAGCTTTTCCTTCTCCATCTCACAGGAGTGCCTTTCATTAGTGGATTTGAAACTGAACTTTAACCCAAAGGAGTCTGGGAAACATACTTTCTGGGCTTTAAGTCCCTATGTTACATGGGAGAAGAGCGTGGATGAGCAGTCTAGGTCCAGAACCTATATTAATATTTTAAATATACTTTTAACTTATTGATTTCTTCTCCAGGAATTTAAACTGAGAAATTAATGGGTGAGAGTATGTAATACATGTGGAAGGATGTTCATCAAGTGTTGTTCATAAAATAGAAACAATGGTAACTATGAATCCAGAGAAAATTAGCTAAATAAATGATACATTCCACAGAAGAATTCTTAGGTGGGAGACATTACCAATTTCTGGTTCTCTTCACCTTCCCTGAGACACACAGAAGATTATATATCCCAGGCTTCCTGAAGTTAGGTGGCACCACGTGACTACTTCTGGTCAGAGGACCAGGAACAAAGTGTTTTGGCTTTATTTTTAGACCAAGGCCATGGAACCCTCTGTGTAATGTTCCAGCACTTTTCCCCTGCTGGAGTGACTAGAATTCCCTCAGCAAGATGAGAACCATAAGATGGAAGAGGTATGGATCTGGGAGTCACCACTTAGGAACACTGGACCCACAGCCACCTGTGTAAGCAAGAAGTAATTCTTTTTTCATTAAGCCACTGAGTTGAAAGGGGTTAATTTGTTACTACAGAATAACCTTGCCTATCCTGACTACTACGACTTATTACCCATAAAAAGATTGATATTTCTGTTCATTGAAATAGAAAAATGAACACAACATATTGTTTCAAGCATATCATTTGATAACTGTTAAGCTTTCAATAAGTATTTTGAATGAAGGAATGAATGGATAAAAGCAAGTTACAAATAATATCTATAGTAAGATTCCATTTTCCTAAAATTGTATGATTGTACATACGGTACATTCATTAAATGCATAGAGAAAGTAAATGTAAAAATACTCACCAGAATATCAACTATGGTCATCCAAGACTGTGGGGCTTCTGATGATTTTCACTTTCTTCATATTCTTCTATATGTTGGTTAATCTTCATAAGATGCCTGTGTATTATCTAAGTAAATTAGAAAGTACACATACATTAATACCAATAATAGAACATAGTACATTCTAGCTATCATTAGTATTATTTTATTACATATAAATGGGAAATATTTTAAGCAGTTTCCCAAAACATCTAAACTCATAATTTATTGTCTATTCTTTGAAGTATAAACACTGACTTGGGTGACAGATCCAAGTGTGCTTTTAGGCTCTGCCTTCAGCAGTAGTGTGACCTTGGCAAATGTATCCCTTAAAGATTCAATCGCTGTTATTAAGACAGGCTTTTGACCCTGAATAACTGAATGTGAATTCATATTCTTCATATTCTCCCCGTTAGCAGTGGTATGATTTCAAGCAAATACTTAAATGCATTGGACCTCAGTTTCATCTTCTGTGAAGTGGAGATATATTACTTTCCTCCTAGGGATGATTAAACGAGGTACATTGTTCATGAGTAGTAGATGTAGAAGTAAAGAACCTTAACTCTGGGACCAGACTGTCACTATGCAAACCTGAACCCTGCCACTGGTTAGCTGTGTGACTCTGGACAGTTCTCTTTACCTTTTGGGCCTTAATTTTCTTACCTGGAAAATGGAGGTGATAAAAGGAGTACCTCTGTGAAGGTTTTTTGCAAGAGTGCATGAGTTAATATTCACTGAATTCTTAGAAAAATTTCTGGCACTTTTAAGTATTTGTGACTAAAAATAAATAAATACTATATGTGATGTGTTTGAAAAAGTACCTGGCACATAGTAAGCATGTTCTCTTTCAATTTCAGTTATTTGACATAAACTCAGCCTGATGGAAAGTAAGAACATCATAGAAATGATGTGTTTCTGTTAAGAAAAACTAAAATGCATAAGAGGACTTCCCTATTCTTTGAGAACGTTATTTAGAAAGTGGATGCGTCGTAGGAATCTTCTTTCAAATATTCCACAGTTCTGTTACAGAGGGCACCAAAGTTGGCCAGCTTGGTAATGGAGCTGCTCCTCTTTAGCCATGTTTACATTCTTAGGTCAAAATGTCATAATAAATGTGTGTGGATATGAAAAGACGTTATCAGAAATACCAATTTAAAATGGTTTTTAAATTGAGATCTATAGATACCACAACTGCCTGCTACCCACCAGGACTCCTAGAGGTAGTTGAGGAACCATCAAAAGTTAGGGGGATGCTGGGTTTGAGGAGGGCTTCTTGCCACCAACCATATCCATCACAGCATCTCCAATTCTGTCTATTTTCCATATCAATAGGCCACATATATACGGTGATTTGTCGAAAATTTAATGTAATAAGACTGCTTATTAAAAGATTAAAGAATGGTACTTTCTTTTCTCCTAGATAATCTCCTATGAAATAACAAAAGAGTGACAGGGCCTAATCCTTAGGTCTACATTCCAGGTTGCAGAGTCAAAAGAGCTTGCACTGCTGCTTCCTCCATCCACCTCTTCAACAGCCAGAAGCAGGAGAACTCCCTAATGATATTTCCTAAAGAGACACTTAAAGTTCAGAGCTCTAGCATGTGATGAAACTAAGTTAAATGAACTAAAGAGGAGAAACATGGAGATACAGTGCATCCTGATGACTAGGGAGGGAAGCTCCAAGGCTTCTGAAAGAGTCAATCTTCTGAACTTATATAAAATAATGATGCTAGATGCCCTACACAAAATCGAATCACTCTGAGACAAGCCGGTCCTCAAAAAGCCTGGCAACGTGGGCACTTATAAGGACTTGGTGTTGAGCACAGAACCTCGGTAACCTCAGCAAAGACACTTCATGGCAGAGATGGAAAAGTGGAGCCATCTTCTCTTGATGGATCATGAAACCATGGCAGGGAGCCAGGGCCACAGGGACTATTGTGCACTAATAACTCATGCCTTTGCCAGACATAAGAGATCAAGAGGAGGCAGTGAAATGAGTGGACTTCCCATTAGTATTGGCAAGGAGAGGCCTGCAGCCAGATCTGATTTGTTTAAACAAATATATAAGTATGACATCATCTGTATCCCAAGTGTCATGTAGTAAATAAAAGTGTTGTTTCATAAGACTTTCAAAAAAATAATTTTCCTGCTTTAAAAAATGTTAGAAAAGCACTCTTATTGGAACCCACCACTCCCTCTAGCCACACTATGCTTTACCTACCCCAGGAAGGATTCCAATGAAGGAATTCTCAGTTCTCGTGGGTTCAACATCAACACACAAACAACTTGGATAAAGTCTAATGACATACTCCATGATGTACATCCCAAGCCACCACAGCGAAGAAGAGAGGAACATTCAGGAAAATGGAAAGATCAGAGTATCAGCATCCATAAGGGTATTGAATATTATCTCATAAGGGTAGCTGAGTTTCAGTAAAATTGTAGAATAGCTGCTTTCCATCCTTCATCTAACTCCCCACTAAGCCTTTTTTTATGTGCCCCTAGACTTTTCAAAATAATAAAAATATACCAGATTGCAGCTGAAAAATATGGCAAACTTAGGATTTTTACCCTCTGATTATTTCCACCCCAGGGAAGAGCTACCATGAAAGTGCTGTGTCTAGTGGCTGAAATTGAGGCCCTGTAGGATTTAAAACATTCCAAGGAAAATAAAAAGCTGATGGCACAAGTCTAGAGATTAAACTCTCATTATCACTTTTCTCTGAGAGTTCAGAAAGAAATGTGAAATAAAGTCACTGAAGCAGAGCCAAAAGCCACTCTCATTTTGGTACAAGCAACTCCAGCTGCCTTTTTTTTTTCTGTGCAATTTATCATGAAAGCATGGCTTCTATTCCAGGGCATAGGGGAAGCTGGAAGTCAATTTCATCCACCTCTTTTGAAGAGTATCATGGGTGACATGGGAATTAAAACAAAAGAAAAAAAATCACATTCTATACCAGGAAAAATAATAGTCAGCAGCATAAAGGAGATAAGTACCACTATTATGATCTGGAATTAATGAAGACTCCAGGCAGCCTGACAAGCTTTTCTTTCAGAAAACTCAGTGGTGTGTTTTCAGTGCCCCTCTGAATGACAAAAGCAAGGTGGACACCCCTTCTCCAGCATGGTGAGCACTAGGAGAGGTGGTCTTCCTTGACAACTTCTTCCTTTGTAATGAATTATCTCCATTTTTGATGTAACTCTAAGGGCAATGGTGAGTAGGGGGCTGGAAGTGAGAAGCTGAATTATTTTGGGAAAAATATATCAACTTAGATCCATGTGTCACACATACATCAGAATGAAATCCAAATGGATTAAAGTAAAAAATAAATAAGACCCAGAGATAATTGATTATTTACTGGATATCATTAGAGAAAGCCTTTATAAGCATAAAAGCAGAAGTGCAAAGGAAAATGTTAATAGAATTTGTTACATGAAATTTACATTTTTATATACCATGAAACATTATAAATAAAATGAATAGGCAAATAAACAACAGAGCACATACTTGCAATATTTAAGATGGACAAAAGATAAGCATCTGTATACTTAGTTTTTTGGCTTTGTTTTGTTTTGTTTTGTTTTTTTGAGATGGAATCTCGCACTGCCGTCCAGGCTAGAGTGCAGTGGCATGATCGCGCCTCATTGCAAGCTCCGCCTCCCGGGTTCATGCCATTCTCCTGCCTCAGCCTCCCAGGTAGCTGGGACTAAAGGCGCCTGCCACAATGCCCAGCTAATTTTTTGTATTTTTAGTAGAGACGGGTTTTCACCCTGTTAGCCAGGATGGTCTCGATCTCCTGACCTCATAATCTGACTGCCTTGGCCTACCAAAGTGCTGGGATTGCAGGCATGAGCCACTAGTCTTTTCAAAATAAGACTAATGCAATTAGCTCTTATAAAGCAATAAGAAAAACCTTCAGTAAAAAAATAGACAGCACACTCTCCTTTCAAAAATACAAATTATCAATATGAACAAAACTTTACCTCATAAAGAATCCAAGTGTGGAAATAATAAATAACATTCTCATCAAATGGCAAAGTTGCTTTTTTTCCTTTTTTTTTTTTTTTTTTTTTTTTTTTTTTTTTTTTTTTTTTTTTTTTGAGACATAGTCTCACTCACTCTGTCACCAAGGCTGGAGTGCAGTGGTGCAATCTGGGCTCACTGCAATCTCCATCTCCTGGGTTCAAGCAATTCTGCTGCCTCAGCCTCTCAAGTAACTGGGATTATAGGCGCGCACCACCACAGGTGGCTAATTTTTTTGTATTTTTAGTAGAGATGGGGTTTCGCCATGTTGACCAGGATGGTCTCAAGCTCCTGACCTCAAGTGATCCACCTCTCTCGGCTTCCCAAAGTGCTGGGGTTACAGGCGTGAGCCACTGCGCCCCACTGCAAAGTTGTTTTTTCATGACAAATCCATGTTGATAAAACTTTGACTCTTTCTCAAATAAATTGGACAATGTATAGTCTAACAGAAGCCTAATTATGATGAGATTGGCAAAAATAGGTCCTGCTAGATCATGGAGAGCTGGGGCCATAGAGACTTCCTCTGTGTACACTCAACCAAGCCAGTCAGAAACTCCAGCATCACTACCACCCTGCTAGGAAGGACATATTTCTAGGTTTTTGATGTAACCTGTTCCCTTCCCCCAGGATAGCACTGCAACCTAAGGTCAGATCACGAAGTAAGGGAAGGAACTCACACACACCCAGTGCTATAGGAATTTTATCATAATGAACAGTCTGCAGGTACTTCATCCCATGTGTCCGCTGTGACACCAAATCTGGGGCCACTAAGCTCGGTAGGCCCAGCCATGAAGGTCCACAGCAGGGCATATCACACATCTTCATATTCTTCGACTCAACCATTCTACTTGTAGAAATATGATGCAGCAAAATAGAGACGCATACAAATTCTGTCCAAGGCTATTTGTGGAAGCATTTTTTATTATTGAGAAAACATGGAAATAGTTTAAATGTTCTATACCTGAGGGATAGCTAAATTATGGAATCCTCAAATGATGAAACACCAAGAAATTAAAAGTAATATTTCTAATAAACTTTTAATGACTTGTGAAAATTCTCAAGATA